AGTCTGTGGAGTTTTCCATCTGGTGTGGGTGAGTGATAGTCTACTTTGATTTTGGTTAAGGTAGATTATCATTTACAGTGTAATCAGTGAGGGGATTCTGCAGACTGTTGAGGGTTCAGCCTTCTGATGAGTCGGTGAAACTCCGACGAAGCAGTTTGTCACAGCCCCTCGTTTGTTGTCATCTTCTCTCTCTCTGCCTACGGTTTACCGGGCAGTTCTGTTTGTGACGATATATATATATATATATATATATATGTATAGCCCCTCGTTTGTTGTCCTCTTCTCTCTCTCTGCCTACGGTTTACCGGGCAGTTCTGTTTGTGACGATAATGGTTCACTTGGATGTCGTTTGATGTTGAAGCAGCAAAATAACAAGGAAGTTAGTATAATAATGTTTGAATTGCAATCTCGTTATTTGTTTCTTTTGTTGAAGGTATGAAGAACGAATGATTACGGTAATTACTCAACCATTTAATTACTAATAAAACAAAGAATTAGTGACGAAATGAAAAAGAAAAGAAAAGAGGAGTTCGAAGGGGGGGGGGGCGACTATAAGGTAGGGCCTCGCTCCATACGCTCGAAATGTGTAAAAGTAGAACGAATCTTCCGCTAGAACATGGAAAGATACACCGCCATTATTTTTGTCGTTTGTGCTGTCGAGAGTAGTGGAGCGAGGCCCTTTGTCTGATAGAACCACAATCGGTTGTGGCAAGGGACACGCACAAATCAAGAAGCGATTGCTGAAAGGAAATGGACAGAAAACGCCGAGGCAAAGGATACACAGTTAGTCCCGCACCCAGCATGGCATAAGACGCGGCACGCCAGGGAAGACCAGCATGGTGTTAGTGCGTGGCGACGAGACACGTGTTCGGTCGCACTCAGATGTTGCGTGCGGTTGTCTCCGCGCTACAACGTGCGCCTGTGTCCGCATGTGTGAGGGGGGCCATGCGCTGCTCCGTGCGTCCGTGCGTGCTTGTCGTTGTGCACGCGCGCGAGCGTGTCACTTTGCGCGCGGGCGTCTGTGTGCGAGCATTCGCGCGAGCAAAGAGGTAACGGCGGAAAGGGTAGCAAGGAAAACCAAGTGGAAGGAGAGACGACGGACAAAGGGTTGGGAAGAGAGAGAGAGAGAGAGAGAGAGAGAGAGAGAGAGAGAGAGAGAGAGAGAGAGAGAGAGAGAGAGAGAGAGAGAGAGAGAGAG